AGAACGACCTACCCTAGACAATGGCGTCCACGTCTCCCAGTTGACTCAGAGAGAAATTAACTCCCATGTCACCCGAATACTTGACCGGAGTGTCGGCCCAATTAGTTACGTGTATAAATCAGGTAGATGCTGAAGGTCCAAGTTCGAACCTGAGAGAGATTAACCGACATGTCACACAAATACTTGACTGCAGTTTCTGCCAATTAATTACGTGTACAAATCTGATAGATGCTGAATGTACATGTCCGAACCTTTGAGAGATTAACTGACCTGTCATCCGAATACTTGAGAGACGCTTCACCCAAATAGTTACCAAAAGGATTTACTTGTGTGTGAAATTGAGAAGAACCTGCAGACTCAAGTTCGAATCTGAAAGAAATAGACACCCATGTGTCACCAAACTCTTGTTCGACACGTCGGCCCAATTATTTTTGCGTACAAGCTTATACGTGCAGAAGGGCTGGGGTCAAGGATGAGAGAAAAAAAGATTGTTTCTGTCTTGCTGAAAGGCTACTTTTCTGTTTTCACCGTAGGCACTTTTGGTTTTAAAAGGACGTAGAATTCAATCTAAAATAAACACACAGAAAGAATGAGTCTATATAGATGGGTCAGACATTCTTCATGCTGAATGTAAAAGGCACACCAAAGTATCTGACCTTCCGCAAACCTTTTATTTTAGATACTCGTATTAGTCATAATATCTTAACACAAACACACAAAAGGATAAGTCAAATACATGCACTAATTACCTATCACAGGCCTTGCACAAGTAGTAAAGAAAAGGGCACGCCAAAACGTATATTACCCTTAAACTTATGTATTCAAAATGGGGCTTCGACTAAAAGAAATAAACAAACAACACACACACAATCACACACAATACACACACACAATCACACACAACACACACATACACACACACACACACACACACACAGACACACACACAGACATACACACAGACACAATCACACAAAACACACACACACACAAACACACATACACACATATTATTTAAACGAAAAGAAAAAAATCAGCATTAAAGTTAGCAAAAGGTGGCTGCAAACTTTGCCCTCAGCGCGCATGCACCGACTGTCCAGAGTCCCGGCGAGCGAGTGGACAGACGTCAGTCAATTCCCTGTGTCAATAGACAGCTTTCTAGGTCCTTGTGAAGACCTACGGAGACTGGGCCCGGGGCTTAGCCCTGACCAGATTTGATCCACTGACCATTGTCCAGCCGACCACAGCTCGTGACCAGGCTCTATAGCGTCACGAGAGTCCGGCCCAGGTCTTTCTCTGTCGATGACCGTCAAGGTGTTGAGACTTATTGAGATAGGACAGCCCGAGTGGTTTGCACGGAGTCGTTGATTTACACAGGAGCGTTTGATTTACACACCCACGTACGTCCTGTCCTACCTTGGGATTCAAAGTCGACATTAAGATTCCCCTCTGCCTCCATCCGCTGTACTCCAACTGATTTGATTTCAACCGTTATAATTAAATTCACTTCTTCCAACAATCACGTTCCATTTTATTTTTGCCCTTCACCCCACCCCCACCCTCTCCCATATAATCCTTACCGAT